CTGTGTCGTGGCTCATTAAGGAATTTATCGATTATGATCGCTCAGATTATGCCGAGTCTCCGGTCGCGCGCCTGTAGAGCTCTCGTCGACTGATTTCGTTTGCGCGTGCAATGACTTCATTCCGCTCAATATTCCGGCAATTCCATTTTCGGAGCGTCAACGCGCGAGTATAATTGCGAACTTGTTTCTGACGGAAAAGAAGAGAAAAGAAAAAGAAGAAGAAACAAGGAAAAGGGAGACGCGCGAGGAGGAGGAGGAGGAGGAGGAGGAGGATGTATAGTAAGCCTGTAATTCGAGGCGGTCCGTTCCGATAAGGTGGAAGGACGCGAAAGTTGCGGCAAAGTCGTCATGTCCGATCTCGCGTTTCATCATCGTCCCCGTCGATTCTTCTCGCGTTCGAGTGACGTTCGACCGCTGGTCTAATTGTCGCGCGAGCTCCACACAACAACAATAATGCCCGGAACGATCGTCGCGTTGGAGGAGAGAAATTTCATCGGGACAACCGCCGAGAGAATTATCCGCCAGTGTTATCAATCCATCAACGTCCGGGATAAAAATGCAATCGCGCGTGCACGCGGTGTTAAAGTAACTCGCGCGCGCAATCGCGTCGCGGAATATCCGTGTCACGCGGTCGAGAGAGTTAATATTTTCACGGCGGTTGTCGGTTGATTTATGGCATATGAATGCACTTGGCGAATGAACGAACGAACGAACGAACGAACGAACGAATGAACGGACGAACGAACGAACGAACGAACGAACGAACGAACGAACGAACGAACGAACGAACGAACGAACGAACGAACGAACGAACGAACGAGCGAGCGAGCACGCGAACGACCAGCCGATCAACCGGGATAACATAATAGATAATGAATATCGATACGCTCTCGATGCTATCTACCTGCCGCCGACAGCGATCGAATCGGCTTATAATGAATACGATTGTCGATGTCAATGCCGAGAAAGAGAGAGAGAGAGAGAGAGGAAATCTACAGAGTGTTACACAGGGTAGCAACCCTCGGTACCGGAAGATTACTGACTTTTTATTATTATTGCCATTCATTGAACTTTTAGCAATTCCTCCCCTGGACGCGAGAGATTAGAGTCAATGCGCAAAATAAAATCATGTCCGCTCGCGGTATATGGCTCTATTATGAGCGACCATATCGCCGGCGAGATCTTGAGAAGGCAGGGGACCCGAAGAACGCAATGTCAGGGACGGCGCGACACGTTGTATGACATAATTCGGCCCCGAAAACGCTCTTGCGCGCGCCAACGAGCGCGTGAGCGCACGCGAGAGACGTCCGAGGGAATGCGCGCGCGAGAGAGTCGAGAGAACGAAATAGTATAATGGCGGAATGAGGTCGACCGGGTAGGTTGGAATGCAGGTAGAGGCTGTCCTGGCGCGAACCTGACGCGGTATGCAAGTCGAAAGAGAGAGAGAGAGAGAGGAGAGAGAGAGAGAGAGGAGAGAGGGGAGGGAGAAGAAAGACCACCAGACTTCGGACTGGCCTCGAGAGAGAACCAAATTTTCAAATTCGTCGTGATTAGGCCGAGGAGCTCGGGTTTTCATAAAATGCAAAAATCATTTCGGTGCTCTTTTTGCCAGCAAATAAAAACGTGACGATCAATGAGTGAATTGTATCTCTTCACGTCCCGTGGCGATTCGATGTGAAATAAGTGGAAATAATGAAAATTTACTCTTACTTATTTAATCTTACTTATTTATGGAGTTTTCATGAAATATGAACAAAACCCTATCGAGGGATGTTGTGCAATGCGGGTCGACTTGACTATTGCGATGATTTTCACAAGACTCGCAATGATAGTAAAAGTGCCGGCTGCATCGAGCGCCGGTGCTGAATATTTCGCTCATAAAATTATCGGATGATTATCGACCCGAGGGTCATCGTTACGTTTATTAACTAAATATAGTCAGGCTTCGATGGATCGATCGATCAAAGACCCGAGAGAGAGCGAGAGAGAGAGCGAGAGAGAGAGAGAGAGAGAGAGAGAGAGAGAGAGAGAGAGAGAGAGCGGCTGCTTTCCTTTGAGTTATCAGCGTTCTCGACATTTCGATTTCGCGATGCGAAACGGGTTGCGCGCGGGCCATAGTGCTGCTGACGCATAATTACCGTTTGATAATTGAAGCGTTGAGGAGGATATACGCGATGTATCACGACTATCAGTAAGCCGTAAATAATGGAGAATAGACGGGGAAGAGCGCAATTTGTTTCGGTCTCCGCGTAGTGCCGGACCAAAAATAGGCAGTCGAGAGAGAGAGAGAGAAAGAGAGAGAGAGAGAGAGAGAGAGAGAGAGACACGGCGTGATACTAGATAAATATTTTACTCTCCTATCAATCGACTGACGACACAAAAGTCTCCCCGTTCACGGTTAAATCAATAAACCACGAATTAATAATTGTTCATAATTGATAAAAGTACTTGTCCCGTGGGCGAGTGGAAACTAAAACGCGCGTTTTTATTTCGCGCGATTATTCTCCCTTATTTATCTTCATTTCACCTTGTGCTCGCGGAAATCTCCGCGGAAGACAATTATCGACGAGGAGAGGAAACGCCTTTTTCGCTGTTCGTGATACGCCGCAGAGGCGGCAATATAACGAGCGATAGATGAAAAACGCATAGCCGCCGGCGACTTGGCGTGCCGGGGTGTTTTCCAGAACTCTAGATAGAAACCGGCGAATAGGAACCGTCGAGGGATGTTTCTCCCCACGGGGATTTAAAGTCCGGACTCGCGAGCTCTTTGACGGTCGATCTCTTCGGGATCCGATAGGCGAAGCCAAAAGGCTGATCTGTTCCGAGCAAAATTGACCAAGTTCTCTCTTTAATCGGCGAAAACTCGAAAACACGTTCGCGCGCGCGCACACATACATACAGAGAGACGACGGTCAATTATACAGCGGCGGAAAAATGGACGAAAGTGCAACGGTTTGTCACTTTTGATAAAGGCAAAAGGCAAAACCAGCCAAAAGCGTCGTCGTTGTGCAGCGCGCTTAAAACACCGCGATTGGTGGATCGATGCCGTGCCTGCCTCCTGGTAGGCACGTCGACCGGTTCCTGGACAAAGCGAGAGTTGCCCACCTAGCATCCTCTCCCAGCTCTCCTCTCCGCGCCGCACTCCACGCAGAGCGAGAGAGCGGCCGAGCGCGAAGGGAAACGAGTATCCTGCCGTTTTCTCCCGTCTTCCTCTCTTCCCATCTCGCTTCCTTCATCCCACCCGGTACCGGTCCAAGGCAGAAGAACCTGGAAGAGAGACTCGCGGGATCCCTTTTCACTTGGACCCGCTGGGATGAGTCCCGTGTCTTCCCGCGAAGAACGATCGCGATATTGAACGATCATCATTCTGTATCCTGTACCAGGCGGACGGTACAGAATGTCGCGTGTTTTACCGCGTGTCTTCGTACAGCTGAGGTAACCACCTGGGTGATACGCGCGTTCAGGTGACACTTTTCCTTTTACCATTAGACTTTTATGTCCCTCATCTATCCGTGACGTTTCATTAGAACAAGAAATATCGGCGGCGCCCTTTTGCATTCTTCATTACCCGGGATGAGTAACAAAGAGATGGCCGACGCCGACGACGACGACGGACGACGACGACGACGACGACGACGACGATGATGATGATGATGATGATGATGATGATGATGATGATGACGATGAAGGCTAGACTCTGAGGTGTTTGAGCAAGGTCGATCCGGGGGGGCTCGTCCGACCGGTCAACCGAGTTCGAACTCGGCTCGAGAACGACTGAGAGAGAGAGAGAGAGAGAGAGAGAGAGAGAGAGAGAGAGAGTGAGAGAGAGAGAGAGAGAGAGAGAGAGAGAGAGAGAGAGAGAGAGCTCTCTGGCCGCTCTTGCTCCCGCACCGGACGAAAAAGGCGCGCGAATCTGAGCCCTTCGTCGATCTGAGAAAATATAATCTCGCTTTGGCTGCTCCGGGCAAAATTCCGAGTGTGAGCTTAATTCGCGAGCGGTCTCGTGAAAAATGACTTTCCATCGTCGTTGAAATCCTTCCACCTCTCCGGCTCTTTGGTACACGAGAAAAAAGCTCGGTTCGTACGACTGAATTGCTGGTGTCCGGCGACTAGACTCGAAAACTCGGTAGTACGGAAGAGGAAAAATGCCTGTAAAAGGAAATGCCTGTTCAGTCGGATGTCCCCAGTCATCTCAACCGAGCATTAACACAGGTAAATGCTCGGACAAATGTTTTCGCTCTCTGCGACGGAGATATCGTTTCTTGTCAGCGAGCCACCTTTCATTCGGCCACCGTTCCGTTGCACGAGAACGCGCTGCGAAATTTCTTCTCGCGCGTACGTTATAGATATCTCAAGTACAAGCAACAACCGGCCGGCACGACCAAATAAACGCGAAATGATTTTCGGCCTAATTCCGCAGGCGCGTCGTATACGCGCAAGCGAACGATTAATTATACACGCGACACGTTTCGCTGCGATTTAAAAAGGAACGCATGCGGAATCAGTTCTCTCTCTCTCTCTCTCTCTCTCCCGCGACTTTTCTTCTGGACTTTCTCCCTCACCCCGGGAAAGGGAGCCGCATGAACCGATTTTGCATACATTTAAATACTTTCGCAATGAATCTCGCTGAGGAGCTGCACGACGCGACGGACACACCCTAAGTATAAATTTTAAGCCTCGATCGCGCGCGCGCGCGTACAATGCCTGTTTAACGAAATGTCCTCCTCCTCCTCCTAGGAGGTTCTCTCCTAGGGGGTTCTGTGTAGTTAAATAATTTTTGTTCAAATCGAAACTTTCGAGCGCGTGCTGAGAGCCAGCTTGAGGAACTCGCAAATGTATGGCGGCCGGTGCCGCCCGTGCGCGGTCGATTCCTGCGCCAAACGCGGGATACGGCGAATTCGAGAAAAGTGTGTCGATGATAAATCGCGCGTAACGCCGCCGCGATCGCAATCCTTCGAATTAAGAGCGTCCTGCCGCCAGGACTCTGGGACTGGGACTTG